TAACCTGCAAGACACGTCGACAGAAGACGCCAGTCGCCGCTCGATCTTGACCGGATCAGAATAGTTTGAGTTCGCGATCAACATCAACCCAGTCGCTGCGATTTCTATTTACGTCTTGCGACACTGTACGGAGTACTGTACGCTGGGTATCATCATCTTGGGACGTCCCTTCACACGGCTCTTCCTTGGCTTGGCGCAGCTGTCGTCAGATGTCGATGCAGGGTTACTTCGTAACCGCTCTGCAATATAAAGAGCCACGATGTCGTGTCGACGCCCTAAGAGCATCAATAGCTCCATAGAGTTTCCGGGGCTGACGACGCCCGACCTTCACACGACTTCTTTTCGTGCAGAGGCTCGACAGGTCCATTTTTGGACGGCAAATATAAGGACAATAAGTTCCCCTCCATTTTGCTTGTGCGAATGGCCAAACCCAGTCAAAGATACATGGTGTGGGTGGTTTACGTTTTCAGCCAGGCCATGAACAGCCATCGACCGCGATCAGACATGCTGGCCACCCTCGCTATTTGTATGTACAGTACATGGTAAGTAAGGAATGAAACTGTGCCTGCAGTAGTCGCGAGAACAACTATGAGTCTCGTCTCGCGAGAAGTCATGAGCTTCAACAACTCAACGGGCAACCTGGTCAATCCGGATCGCCTTCTCCCAGCCGGTGTCGCATGTTATCTCACCATCCATCGTCCATGAGTGAACGAACCTTCTCCTGATCTGGAAAACCGACGGGATTCGGGCCGACACGGCTGAGCTTGTCACGTATGGTAACAGTGGGCTTGCAGTGCTCCTGGTGGTAATACGTACCGTACCGGTAATCTATGCGTCCAGAACCCTGAGTGTCCACTTGGACCCACACGTGACCCCAGGCCCTAAGGGGATCTGTCAAGGTGGCCTTTTGATTCTCGATCGACAGGCAGAGAGACAGAGACTGCCTCGGAGGAAGCAAAAGTCCTGTATCTGCATGAGCATGTCCGATTGGAAGATGTTATCAGGTTTGGCCAAGGAACATCGTGCAGATCTGAGATCGGGTCTAGCTGAGGACATCCCGAAGCTTCGCCGTTGAGCTGTCACATCCAGGGTCTGTCGGTCGGTAGGTCTCTTCGCCACTTTTATGTAGGTACACGCAGCCTGCATACAGTTGCTGTGAAGGACGGACATGAGGTAGACTGCCGAAGCTTTAAGCCCTTGATTGAAGCATCTGCTGTTGCTACGAGTATGTCTGGTCGGCGGGATCTGCGTTGCGGTCAAGGCACTTGCATACTCCAGCATTCCGCTATTCTTAGAACCCTTAGAATTCTTCAATCCATCGGGTCGATGAAGTCAATGCGTGTTGCGATGAAGTCAATGCGTGTTGAATGATTGTTTACACTGCTGCAACTACGGAGACGTAAACAAAGAATGCCGGGGAAATACAAGAGCGATAAACTCAAAAGACGAGCTTGTCGTCATGAAGATTATTCATGATATCAGCCGCCCTTTCTCTCTCTCTCTCTCTCCCTCATCCAACCAACCAATCCCTGGACTGGGGCGTGGCGGGCGGTTTTGCGTCCCACGAGGGGAACGTTTCAAGGCTTAACTAACTTACTTTTGCGACCCCCTTGACTCTTCTCAAACACTCCAGCAACCGCAACCGCAACCGCCTCAGCAACAGCCACCACCACAACCACAACAGCAACAACAATCCTGAGGATGAATGATTTGATGACGTTGCTCGTGGTTCATCCCAGGTGAAACTGCAGGAGCTTGAGTCAGTCAAGGTCTCACTCTCACAATTAGCCCCCCCACCGTCTGGACACTGTCTGGACTAGAACCCGATGATCTTCTAAATTGGTACAAAATAGTCAGTGAGGGCAAAAACGTCCATGCGTCCCGTTAGCAAAGCAGGGAAAATGTTAAACCCCCCTTCGAATTCAAGTCTCGAACTACAACTAGTAGGAGTCAGTAGTCGGTAGTCGGTAGTACGTACGTAGTAGATTCTCGGATAGATACCCCTTTCCTTCCACCAGAAAAAAAAAAAGAAAGACCCTTGAATTTCCTCTTTCATTTGATCTTCGTTTCTCTCTTGCTTTCTTTTTCTTCTCTTCTTCTTCTTCTTCTTCTCCCCCCTCTATGTATTATGTATGAAAGCAAAAGGTGACGGAGTGCAGCTCTGGGTCATGCCACTTGCTGATAATACCTGTCATTGTTGTTGTCGTTGTTGTCCATTCTAAGCCGGGTGGTTGTTGTTGTTGTCGTCGCCGCCGCATTCCCTCCTTCATCGTCGTTGCTTCCCACTGCAACTCAACTCGCCCAAAATCTCTCCTTTCGATCCAACTTCCGATGACCTTACGGTAGCAATCCTCCTTTCACCGTGTTCGCGACCACAGATCACATACTCTCTCTGTCTCTGACATCCTCTGTTCCGACTGCAACTCGACCATCTAAATGACGACCCCTTCTTGGTCTCCCCCGTACATGCGCACCACGAAACTATAGAAGAACATAACGCTCCTTTTGCTCCGTCGCAACCGCTCCCGCGACCGTCGCACATACACCAGATTGATCCTGGCTTGGAATTCCACATCCCTTTTCACTCTGTGAGGCATCATGACCCAGGCTATCTCCACCTCGTGCCCCCCAATTATGGAGGGGAGCGCCCAAGCGCCCGTGATCCATCTCCCCGACGGTCAAGTCCAGAGGTCCTCCACGCTCCTATCGCCGACCCCGAATCCCACCCAGTATCGCAACGGTCATGTCAACCTCGACACCTTCTCACCCGTCAATGAGAATGGGAGCTTCGAGTTCGACCGAGTCATTAAGACTGGAAAAGTGTTTCGTCGTGTGAAGCACAAGCATGTCAGTCGCTTTGCCTTTCTTAGTTCCTCATCACAAGCAGGAGGCTAACATTCATCCCGCTGCTAGGCCTTTAGAGCTTCGTGGAAACCGGCGTACCTTGTCCTCCGCCCAAACCTTCTTTCCGTGTACAAAGATGAAGAAACCACCCGACTCCGTGCCTCCATCACCCTGTCCGAAGTAACGGCCGTCGCTTCTGTCCGGTCGCCGCGATCGAACCGACAGTACGTCTTCGGCATATTCTCTCCTTCCAAGAACTATCGTTTCCAAGCCGCGACGGACAAGGAGGCCGAGGATTGGATCCGATACATCCGCGCCGAGACACGGATGGACGAAGACGAAGAGGCTTTTCTGGCGCTGTCCAAACCGGGGGATGCTGCGGCAGCCAGCAGCAAGCGGCGCGTCTACGATACCACGGACCACTCGGACTTCGACCAGCGCGGACGGCCCAGCTCTCCAGAACTGGGGGGCGCACTGTCTCCCGCGTACAAGTCGAGGCGCTTCGCCTCGCCTCATGACCACTCGGCGAACGACATCACCTCGTACTCGGAATGGTCGGACGGGCCTGGAAGCAACACCAGCGTCCGCCTGCGGTCGCCGTCGGCGCATAATCGATCTGCGTCGGCCCTTGCCGAGGGATCGTCCTCGACTGCGCGGGAGACGGGCCGGGTCAACGACGCTGGGGTCCTGCGTGATCCCGAAAGGGTCGTATGCAACGGCTATCTCCAATGTCTTCGGATCAAGGGTTCTATGCGTCAGTGGAAGCGGCTATGGGTGGTGCTCCGACCGAGTGGCCTGGGCTTTTACAAGGATGAGCAGGTGGGCCCTTCTTCGTTCTACTGCTATTGTGGTAGTGTCTAACACAACCCCAGGAATACTCCGCCATCAAAATCATTCCGATGTCTCAAGTGATCGACGCCGCCGAAATCGACCCCATGTCCCGGTCCAAGAATTTCTGTCTGCAGATCATCGCGGAAGAGAAATCTTATCGCCTCTGCACGGCGGACGAGGAATCCCTGGCCAAATGGCTGGGATCGCTGAAGAGTATCCTCGTGGCGCGCAAGAAACTCGAACCCACCCCAGCAGGGACCACAGGCACAGCCGGACTGTCCTGAAATGGAGGAGAAGAATGAACAAGTAATCAGAAGTATTGTAAAAAGATTAAAAAAAAAAAACATACCAGCAAGCAAGCAAATCAGCAGACAGGAACACTTAGGAAAACCGGCTACCTACTCTTTACTCTTCATCCACTCCTTTGACCAACCCGTTTACCGATCCTGGCTTTGATTGTTGATTGCAGTGACATTGATGTTTCTTATGTGGTATCTTGTGCTATACAGCCAGAGTTTCTGTTTTTTTTTTTCTTTTTTTGTGATGAACAGCCAGCCAGCCCGTCCCCTGTTTGTATTATCTTGGTGTGGTGTGGATGTCTGAGTAATTTCTTTCCGGATTGATACATACTCTTTTTTTTTCAACTTAAGGTTGGCATCGTATCATGCGTACTTTGACGCTGTCTCTCCTTCTGTGATGTAGTAGCTGTCTGTCACTGTATACTTGGGTCCAATTGGAGCTTTTTGTTTTTTCGATCGGGCTGATCTGGGAGTAGCATATCCAGTGTTTGTGCTGTGCTGGTGCTTGCCCTTGGCCTTGTGACTATGCTAATGGGTGGTTTTGGGAGTGCCTGGTATCTCAACGATGTCAGCTTGCGGGGATGGATGTCTGGCTGATTTGTGTTTCCTCCTTTTATTTCTCGGGGAGGGCTGGGTGTATGGATGGTTTATTTTTGGACAGGATTGTTCTTTCTGGCAGTCGGTTGTGGATCTTCAGCGGTTGGAGTACACAGTACGACAACAATATCTATCTAACCTACCGATTTCCACTTACAGGCCGTCTGCCTCCTGTTTACCATGATCTAGGGAGGGGACGTCTAGTACTTGCTTCTACGAATACGGTAGCCATATTAGAGCTGTGATAATCGGCACCCTCGTTAGCCCCTCCTATTCTCAGAAGTGATAGTTACCATTACCATCCTAGAACCAAAGAACCAAAGAACCCAAGAACCCAAGAAATCGCTGCAAAGAGCCACGAACTAACCAGTCTATACTTCACCCCAAACCCCAACATAACCCTCCCCCCGGGCCCTCCAAAACAGCCCATTAGTCCTGATGCCCCTCCTCCGCCGCCGGAATAGCCTCATACCCGTCCGCACCCGCTCTACCCCTAGTCCTCGCCCTGCCCCTGCCCCTGCCCCTGCCCCTGCCCCGCTCCTGCCCGTCCCCAGGATCAATCTCCTCCGCATCCAAATCCAGCCGACTCTCATGATTGACGACCAAAAACGAGCCAAACACCACCGTGGCGCCGACCCAATACGCGGGGCTGGCGTACTCGCCCTGGATGACCATCTGGCCCACCAGCGACAGCGGGATGGTCAGACTCAGGCCGACGGTCACGACGAGCGGCGTGGTCAGGAGCATGGCGTAGGCCCAGCAGAGGTCCGACAGCAGGGAGGCCAGCGCGTTGACCCAGATGATGGTCCAGACGCGGCCGGCGGCGGGCCACGCGAGGGGTTCCACGCCCAGGGCGTGCAGGACCAGAAAGCCCGGCCACAGCAGCACCATGTTCAGCAGGCCGACGAGCCCGAAGAAGAGCTGCATGTTCACGCGCGACTCGTCGCCGACTTGCTTTTTCAGCACGATCGTGTACACCCCGTACATCACGGCGCTGAAGGCTGCCATGGCGTCGCCGAGGGCGATTTCCCCGGTCGTTTTGCGGGGGAAGGTGCCGCCCCCGCTGGCCCCGGGGGGGTCGGCGTCGGCGTCGGGGGCGGGGGCGGGGGCGGGGGAGGAGATGTCCAGGCGCGAGATGATGATGATCCCGATGAGGGAGGCGATCACGCCGAGGAGTTTGCGGGGCGTGAAGCGTTCGACGCCGATGAGGGCGCCGAAGATGAGGGTCCATACGCCTGGGTTTCGTTAGTTTTTCTCTGGAGGGTGGTGGGGGGGGGGGGAATGATATCCCGGGTTTGGGATTGAGGCTGGGGTCTGGGACTGACGTACCGCTCGTGGAGGTCAGGATCGTGGTACTCCCCACCGTGGTATACTGTAAACATGCCATGGCGAAGTAATTGGCCTATCACCGAAAAATTCAATCACGTATCCCCTCAATAACAAGTCCTCACTCCTTTATGCACCTTGCAAAGAGATCAACATCGCACTTACAGTAAACTACACCCTCACGTTAGCTGGCAGCCCCCAAACCCAACCTCCCAAAACACAACAACAGCAATAAGACTCACCCAAAGCAAACAAAACTGAAAACTCAGCTTCGCCGTCTCCTTCAACCCCAACCTGGACGACGAATCCCAGCCCTCAGGACTCCCGCCCTCCCGCCCCAGAATCCGCTGCCCCTCGCGATGCCCATCATGCGCATCCAGATGCTGCAGCAGACTCTGCACCGACCGGATCCGGTACAGCTTGCCGGCGCGCCAGAGCCGGAACACCCGGCTCGTGATGATGGAAAAGAGCGGGAGGATGAAGATGGAGGTGTTGACGTAGGTCACGAAGAAGGGTTTGGAGTAGGTGTTGTCGGCGAAGATGGTCTACCCCTCAAGAAAATTAGCGGAGTGCGCTTTCTTTCCGGTGATGATGATTCCACAAGGAATCAGGAAACATGGGCATAGGGGGGGGGGGGGGGGATATGTACACTGGCCAGGAAATTCGAGGCCGTCCATAGGAAGACCACGATCAGCAGTAATGCGATCCCTAGAGTTCGGCGGCCGCCTGGCGTCAGGCCTGAGGGTTGCGGGTTGGAGGATGTTGAGGGGTCCATTTTTCGGTTCGAGATACTCCCTCTTGAGCCACGATGCAAAGGTGTGTGTTGGGGTGCGGTGCACGCGCTTCTGGCTCGGAAGAGAGAGCGCACGAAGAGCACGAAGAGCACGAAGGCACGAAGAGGGGAAACGCGAACTTTCGTTCTTGTTTGGTTCCGAATGTCGAGATAAGAACCTAATTCAACCTCACCCTCCCCGCTTGCGCAATTGGAATGGGCGACGGACTCGCACTCCGGAGACCGTGCAGGAAGAGGCCCACCGGTTACTAGGGTCATCAACTTGATCTAGTCATGAGGGCAGCAGAGAGACCGTAAGGAGTGAGACAGCTTAGCGCGTCGACAGCAATAAGCCAATCCCAGCGACACCGGGGCCGAGCAGCAGGTGGTGCGATAAGCAGGGAGGATTGACCGGGGAATTTACTGATAACTAACTGAACAGGGAGAATCAAGGCGGTGTAACCCGATAGGATCCCGCCAAGCATCACGAGATAACCTCGATAAGCACGCGACGGCGTGAGTAACTGCACTAGTAGTGTAACAGTGTGAATTTCCCCTCAGACTCCTACAGTACGAGACACACACACACACACACACAAAGACAAATCATCATTAACCATCAATCAATAACACCCCATGCGAGCAACAAACCGGCAAAAAGACAGGAGCGTGATACATCAAGGGCACCCGCAATGTATATACAGGTGCGAGGGAGACAACAAGCAGGAAGTTCGTAGTCCGCAAACCAAACCAAACCAAACCAGCCGAAGCGCAGCGTTTCTTCAAAGTTAAGACAGAGTTGTAGTATCGTTCCAAAATCATGGTCTAGCGATTAGGGGTATTTAACAGGCGCAACCGTCGCGGTCCCCGTCCAGGTGGATGTTGATCGGGTCGCTGAACTCCCCGCTGAACTCTTCGGCTTCTTCTTGGGCCAGAGCGCTTCGGGCGATGACTACGTGGGACGAGGGTCAGTACGGCCGTAACGCAAGGGACACACCGGCGGGCGGGACACTCACCCTCAAAGGCCTGCTCCACGTTGATCGCCTCCTTGGCGCTGGTCTCGAAATAGGGAATGTTGCCTTTCGACTGGCAGAAGGTCATCGCCCGCTTGGAGGAGATCATCCGTCGGCTTTCCTCCGCATCGATCTTGTTACCAATCACCACCTGCCAGCACAGTGTCAGTGACCGCACCCCAGGACATCAAGCACAGCGCATCCAGCACAGGCTCATTCCCCACCATCCCACAGGGGACTTACGAAAGGGAAATTCTCCGGATCCCGAGGACTAGCCTGGATCAAAAACTCATCGCGCCAGCTGTCCAGCGCCTCGAAACTCTTGGAATTGTTCACATCGTATACCAGCACGCAGCAGTCGGCACCTCGGTAGAAAGCGACCCCCAAGGACTGGAAGCGCTCCTGTCCCGCGGTATCCCAGATCTATATTCGCAAGCGGTTAGTTTGCATCTCCCCAGAACCGATAAAGCCAGTCCCTTGAGCGATCGGTCTAGGAGGCTGGTATTGGAAAAGCGAGAAGAACATGCCTGCATCGTCACCAGACGGTCGTCCACCAAGACCTCCTTGGTGAGGAAATCGGCGCCAATTGTGGCCTTGTAGCTCGCGCTGAATTTCTTGTTGACCTGTTGGACGGACAAAAAGGGTCAGCGAAATGAGGTTCGGGCGGGTTGCTGTTGTTGCTGCTGCTGCTGCTGCTGCTGCTGCTGCTGCGAGGGAGAAAGAGAGAGGTTACGGACATATTGGTTCATCAAACTCGTTTTACCGACACCGCTATCACCCAAGATGATCACCTAGGGACATGCCAGAGCCGAAATTAGTTGTTGCGACTTGGGAGAGGTTGTTGTTGTTGTGTTGCGGGTTACCTTCAACAAGACCTTCTTCCGTGACGACATGATGGAGATGCCTCAAGGTATTACCGGTTCTAGGCGGTATGGAGGAGACGCCAGCGGCAGGAGAAGGGCGATTGAGAGGAGATGCCGAGGGAGGAGAAGGAGGAGGAGGAGGAGGAGGAGGAGGA